ATATATTTAAACTGACTTAATAGATTAACTAATAAATAGATCAAAATTATATATTTTTCAAAGTTGATATATAAAATAGTGTAAAAAAATTAAGAGGTAAAATTTGTTCAAAATGAAAGGTCTAGGACTATATTTGGCATTTTATTTTAAAAGCCGTACATCTACAGTGTAAGAAAGAAACACTAATCTTTGGACTGCGATTAAGCAGAAGAAGCAGGTCACCACATGTGCTTTCCTTCATGGAAACTTCCGTACGTCAGACTCCGGATCATTTACCGTCAATAGACACGATACTGCTACAATCTACAGGAAACCGCGGCCGTACAAATTTCCTAGGGCCACACCCAGTCTCATCACCATTCATTTTGACCAGCTGTCCCCAGTTACGGTTCGGTCAGATCATGTCGTTACGGTTCGGTCCCGCCTACATGTACAGTCCCACACTCAGCACCGGCGCGTATGCTAAAAAAGAAACAGCAAACTCCTGTTTGGTTGACCACAGCTGAGTCTCCGTTACAAAATTTTAAGTAGATTTTGGATTAAGTTTTGGCATGGGAAATGGATTGAGGTGAGAATGAAATTAAGGGAATAGAGTTCTTAATATAATATAATATAACAAATTATCTATATAATTCAATTATTATCTTCTTTCATTTTGAAAATAAAAAATCTTGAATTCGAATTAAATGACATGCGAGTGAAGTAAAATAAGATATGAAAGATAATTACTTCTTATTATACAATCAAGATAATATATATATATAATATAATACAAACTCAGGTTCTTTTATTATTATTTGAATGTACACATCTTCAGTAAGTTACAAATTAGTCACATTTAATAATGAGATTTTATTTGTTATTTATTTATGAATAAAATGATATAGAATTACCTACTGAATTTATTAGACTAAAAATTTGAATACACATTTAAATAAAATAAAAGTAATTTTATAATCTAATACAATAAAAAAAAAAACCACCCACAATCAAAGAGTTTTGCCTCTTATTAATAATTTAAAATTATATAATTCATACATGACAAATTACATATATAATCTTTTTGTTATAATAATAGAAATTAAAAGCAAATTCTTCATATAAAATACCATGATATGATCCTATATAGATTACTATGACAAACTATAGAAAATAAAAATATCAAAGGTGGAAATCCACATTCCAATTTCACCAATTCCAAATTGCCAAGCAAATTAACCATCTTTAATATTCAAATTTCAACATCAACTTGATCCTAATCCATTCGTGTTTGTGATAGATTAACCGAACTACTTATTGAAAATCTTGCATGTGGGCTCAACACAAGGCTTGCATCCAATCTAAAACCAATTGGCAATAAGTGGAGTAGCCCTCCTTGTATTTAACCCACAAGCTTCTTATTTTTATACTTGATGTGGGATTTTCCCACTTAACACTACTATCAATGGTGAAAAACCAAGAGCGTGTGGAATGCAGGAGCATTGGTGTGGAATTCTCTTAATATAGAAAGATTACCATAACAACCCATAGAGAAAAAAAAAATGGCACAGGAAAACCTACATTCAAATTTTATCAATTCCAATTTAGCAAACAAACCCGCCCACCACCAGAAGAGTGCGTAATGGTGCTAATGCACTAGCATTGGTGCGGAATTCTTAATATAGAATATTACTATTACAAACTATAAAAAAGAGGAGGAATATGAAAATCTACATTTTAATTTCATCAATTTCAAATTAATCTGTCAATCATCTATGTAGTTTTAATAGTCTTTCAGAAGCAAAGTGATAAGACCTTTAATAATATGCAATTTAAGTCCCAAGATTAATATTTTACCACATCCTAAAAGCAGTAAATACTAATATAATTGGTATAATTACAACTTTAAAAAAAATTCCAAATTAACAAACAAACCCGTGCACCACCAGAAGGGTGTGTATAGCACGAGCGTTGGTGTGGAATTGGATTTTGTGCGTTCGATGCTGTATGGTTGCGCTCGCAGGACAGTACGGTACGGGACAACGTACGTTGGACCTACAGGGATGGTGTACTCGTGTCATTTCTATGCAAGATCTCGTCTACAACTTGTCATATCTTGGAGTGTCGGCATAGATTTTGCTTTCCATTCCATTTTCTTAACTTCATATTTAATATAATTTAGAGATAGAAAAATTTTGCAATCCCTCATTTTACATATGCTAGGTTTTACCTCTTTAGCAATTCGAGTTAAAGAAAATAATTAACTTAAAATAAACTTGAAATTATCAATGGAATTGATGGAGCCGCATGAGAATTTAATGGTTATGAACTCATAAAGCCGTTAATCAATGATTCTAAATTGAGAAAGTCATGTGATAACTTATAATTTCATTCAGCTTTGTAATGTAAAATAATTTTAAATTTCTAGAGTTATTAATCAATAGAATTGTCTTTTTATCTCAATTTTCTCCCTTTTAAAGTTTTTCTTTTTGGTATACTTGAAAGTATGTAAGACCACTTAACTTCATTTATATTTTGACTATGGTGATATGTTTTGATGGTTTATATTAACTTACGTGATACCAATAAATAAATAAAAACAAAATTTTAACAATTATACATGTGATAATTTAATGCTGATAGTAAATTATTTTTTTTAATTTACTTAGTCAAATGACTAAAATCTTTGATATATAATATAAAAGATTAAAAATTTAAAATCAAACAATAATAAAACATAGGTTTTTGCCCTCAAAAGATGTCCTTCTCTATGGAATAGGCCTCCTAACCAAGGCATAAGCAACACGATTGGCCTCCCTAAATGCATGCACCATCGAACACTGTTGGAAAGCCCCCATTTGCGCCTTAAAGTCTTGTGACACCACCCCTAGCTCTGAATCCATGGAGACATCAGACGCAATATAGCCCGCCGTTTCGATCGGTTGCCGAATCACACACTTCACCACCACCTCTGATATCCTTGAGTCCACCGCCCTAAAACAAAACTCCTGCTTACTAAAATTTCATTTAATATTATTGTAGTTTTT